AATAAATAAATTCCAATAACCTATTAAAGCTAAAATTTAACAAAGCCTCACGGAAAGTCAAAAGACTTGTTTAGTAAACCCACGAACTTGTTATATGCACACACAAATGTAACATCATAAGCAGGCGCAAAGATAAGTCTAGACTTTTTTATGGCTTAGATAACAAGGCCAAAAACTGCAAAAATCATATTAGAGCTCTCAAGCAATGCTAACATCCAATTCTGCATATTACAGTAAAAAGATTTCTCTGCAAAGAGAATTTTTCCTCTGTAACTGCGTCGCACCTGACTGGAACATCCTTCTAAACTCCATCGTATCTGCTGCATCAGTTAACGCTTTAAAAGTCAACTGGAATAATTTTTTCCAAAACTTTTAATTAAAAACAAATTGAATTGACATTTGTCATAGCGGGACTTCGTTAGTAGCCCTGCTTGCAAATGCTTAAGCATTTGCTATAAATTATATATATCATTGTTATTATTATTATTATTATTATTATTATTATTATTATTATTGTTATAACCTTTTAACAAGAGTTTTAGGTTTTAGCACAGCAAAATAAATACAGCAAAAGAAAAAATTTTACCACAAAAATTTGTTTTTTTCACATGAATTTTCTTAAATTCTCCTTAAAAATCTCCTTAAATTGTTGTTCTTATATTTTTATGTCTTTTAAAATATTAAAGAAAATAATTCCTTCTTTTAGAAAAAAAAAAAAAAAAGTTTCATTTTATTTAATTTATTTTTCATGTTAAACTTTTGAGTTATCTGTTTTACTTCTCTCATCTCTTTTCACATTTTCTTTGTCAAAGAAAAGCTTGCATATTTTATTTCATGAGTTTTCTCCTAATGTTAAAGTTTTTTTTTCATAAATCATAGTTGTAAAGTCTCTCAAATACTTATATGATGTTTATGTAATATTATTTTCTAAAACGAACTACACTTTTTCTTTCTTGACAACTAATTTCAGGTGTGGTTGAGATATTTGATATCTAAGTTGGCATAAAGAAATATTTTTTTTTTGGAAAAAAAATCTTGGAAAAAGTTTTTTTGATCGCATATAATGAAATGAGATAAGAAAGTTCATTAGCTCTTTTGTTTTTAAGGAAAGGCATTAGTATCCTTGTTTTTAAGAAAACTCATTAATTTTCCTGCTCTTAAGAAAACTCATTAATTTCCCTGCTCTTAAGGAAACTCATTAATTTCCCTGCTATTAAAAAAAATTATTTTTTTATTCCTATGATTAATAAAGTTTGTTTTTTTAGTATGCTCTCGGTGTAAAACGAGCAGAGATTCGAAAGCTTGAAGAAATGGCAAAGGTTTAAATTTTTTTTTTAAATTTACAGTGTTTACATATAATTGTTTAATGTTAATTAATGAATGAAAAAAATAAATGAATAAATGTTTGCCCATTTTCTGACTGTGTTGCGTAGTCTTATATGTTGTCTTTAATATCTAGTTTGGCAAAGTAAGAATTTTAATATTTAAAAACATTGATCTATTTAAATAATTTAATAAATTGTTATAATTGTCTGTAAAAATTTTAGTTAAAAGTTGTTAGTAAAAAAATTGTTCAGATTTTTAATTGGCAATAACAATGCAGTTTAAGGTTTTATATTTAATTAAAAGTTGATTTAATTAAAAGTGTATACTCTCCCCTATAACATTTTTAAGTTACATTATGTATCAAATCGGTTACAACTAGTAACAAGTTTACATTCTTTACAACTAATAACAAGTTTACATTCTTTACAACTAACAAGTTTACATTCTTTACAACTAGTAACAAGTTTACATTCTTTACAACTAATAACAAGTTTACGTTCTTAACAACTAATAACAAGTTTACATTCTTAACAACTAATAACAAGTTTACATTCTTTACAACTAACAAGTTTACATTCTTTACAACTAATAACAATTTTACATCCTTTACAACTAATAACAAGTTTACATTCTTTACAACTAGTAACAAGTTTACATTCTTAACAACTAATAACAAGTTTACATTCTTTACAACTAACAAGTTTACATTCTTTACAACTAATAACAAGTTTACATCCTTTACAACTAATAACAAGTTTACATTCTTTACAACTAATAACAAGTTTACATTCTTTTATTTTTAATTAAATGAACTTAAGAATGCAGTAATACTTTGTTTATAATTGCCATATTGCTATTTAACATCTTTTATTTTATTTTTAATGTATAATAGTTTTGTTGCAATTAGTTACTTTGTCACTAAATAGAAATAAAGTTTTAGTTCACAAATTTGACATAGAGCTTTATTATATAGCCTTTTTTTTATGCTCTGTTATGTCTCAGTAGGTTACACTTTTATTTATATTACACTGAGCCTCACAAAGCTACGATCTTCTACACTTTTATTTACATCACACTGAGCCTCAATGAGCTTTAAGGCTAGAGACTTTCAGACTCCTTCAGACCAGCGAAGCCCAAGGGTTAAAAATTTTGCCAGAGTTGTTAAATAGGGCAAATGTAGGAAGTAATTTTTGTTATATAGCAGTTCTCCTTTTAAGGTGATTTATAAAATGATAAGAAAGCTAATATATATATATATATATATATATATATATATATATATATATATATATATATATATATATAAATATATATATATATACATATATATATATATATATATATATATATATATATATATATATATATATATATATATATATATATATATATATATATATATATATATATATATATATATAAATATATATATATATATATATATATATATGTATATATATAAATATATATATATATATATATATTTATATATATATATATATATATATACATATATATATATATATATATATTTATATATATATATATATATATATATATATATTTATATATATATATATATATATATATATATATAAATATATATATATACATGTATGTATATATATATATATATATATATATATATATATATATATATATATATATATATATATATATAATATATATATATATATTAAAAAATAAAAAGATAAATTAGTAACTGATTAAGATAAAACTACTTTGCCACTCGCAAGCGGTACAACAGTTTTGTCTGAATCGGTAGTTTGTTGCCGAAAAAATAAAACATTTTGAGTTTTTATATTGGTTTTTGAGTATTTTGATACAATTTTGCCACAAGCAATAATGTTTATAATATATCAACCATTATTATGTTTCTATTGACAACATTTTAGTCTTTATATAATAGTTCATTTTTATTTTAAAATTACTTTTATTTGTATTTTAAATTTATTTTTTTACTCTAACTGTTTTTAGCTGTGTTCTTATGATGTGAGCTCCTTATTAATATATAATTATTAATATGTATGTATTTTTTTCTTTCTGGGTATGTGTGTAGATGAGATTAGCGATGGACATTTTTCTGAATTCCTTCACATCAATAAAGTAATAATTTTTATCTTATAAAGAAAAGTAGCTAGGAGAATTTTTTTGGGGGACTAGAGAGTAAGGGAGAGAAAAAGGTGTAAAGGGTGTGGTATTTTTTTAGGTTATAGCATAGCAAAGTTATGAAATATAATAATGTTTTCCTGACTTTGTTATGCCAGTAAAAGTAAGTTTTTTTTTTTTAAGTTTTTACAACTTTTTTCTATGAGGCTTTTTGGAGGCTTCATACTAAAATTAGAACTTATAAATTTATTAATTAAAGCTAATTATTTTGTAAAGGTCAAGTACTATTTTTCTAAGTATAAAAAACTCATTACTCTGTGTAGTTAAAGTGGTTTTAAAATATTTTTGCATCTGTAAATTACTTTGTTGACCAAGGCATAGTTCTATCAAACAATATGTCTCTAAATTACGATAGAAATCAAAAGTTTTTGAAGAAGTGGATTTTTAATAAGAAACAATTATAAATATTTATTTTTTAGATTTTAAAGATAAAAACAAATTTTCTCAACAAATTTGGTAATTGTGGAGAATATATGATGTAACATAATTTTAAAATGTTTCTGACCTAGAAAACATATATGGAAGATGATTTTTTTTTTAAATCTGTTTAAATCAAGATAACAGTCAAAATTAGATTTAAGAATTTAAATAGTTGAATTGAAGGTCATAGTTTAATGATATGATTTGTTCTGTTAAATCAATGACAGTTTTTCTTAATTATTCCTAATTCTTCATTAAATTTGATGGAAATGTTGTATTTTAAAATATATGTTCAGTTAATAAGCAACAGAATAGATCATAATTTGGATCTAGAGTAAATTAGGTAATGCTAATGAAATAATAAAAAAAAAAAATAAGGTAAAGCTAATATCGACCTAAAGACTCCAAAATGGTGTTCTTTAGAAAGTTTAAAAAATAAAGTTAAAAAGTTTGAAGCTTTTTTTTGGACATAATACGCTAATTGAATCATTTGAATTACAAATTTTATAATATGTTTTGAATCACCTTAATTACACTGAATAGGCTTTAATCCAAATGCATTTATGATTTTTATCTTTTGTAAATTCTTTTTATTTTCTCACAATTTGATTGCTTCTGTTTAGATTTCATAATGCTTTAAATATTAATATCTTGTTAATTTTTAACTCGAAAACAAGATTGACTGAATTTTGTTTTCCTGCACTTATTAAATAGTTTAGAGTGAATTGAACTGAGTCCTGAAAAACACTTTTACAAGACAATGACAGAAATATTGTCTGGACCACAAGCCAAAGAAGAGTTTAATTAATGACTTGAGCAACAGAAACTGGAGTGATATGAATGTGTAACAATGGGTTAACCTGTTTAACTGGAATGACAAGAAGAGTATGGCCATTAGATTCAAGATTTGAATTCAGATTAAAAAAAAAATTCAATTTTATATTCAAGAATTTAAAAAAATTCTGTGCAAATAGTTTAGCCTTATCCTTATAATAGGTAATAAGATCAGGTTCATTAGAGATGAAATGTTTGAAAGTGGTAATAAGATCAGGTTCATGAAAGATGTTTGACCTTTGTTAATGACACTGTAAGATTTTTCAAAAATCTTTAAATTTTAACCTCTGAGGTAAGAAATGAGATCCAGCGGGAAACTGGGAATAATGGAGCTTAGCATCAGATGGTAGGTTTTCACATTACTTTATTGCAGTAGTAAAAAAGCTTCTGTTTTCTAAAGAGTTTCTAAAGTCTCTTGAAAAAGATGAAAAAAATGATTACTAGATAAAGTAACTGCAAAAAAAGGTAGAATAAAAGCCTCCATACCTGCTTGGACCCAAGAAATTATGCAGGAGATGTTTTTATCAGCGGAGAGAGAAAAGGCATCAGCGCAAGGAATGTCAAGAAAAAAAATCACAAAAAGAATCAGTCAGTCAGTTTTATGTTAGTAGTAAGTTAGAGCAATTATAGGGTAAGTTCAAAAAAGAAGAACGAGATAAAAGGTTTAAAAAGACCATTGCATCATTTGAACCACCTAAAGAAGGAAAAAAAAAACTGAGCACAAGCTAGGGTCAGAGACAAGACACAAACCAAGAAGTCAAGGTAAGTGATTAGGGTTGTCTGGAAAACAAGTCACAAAATTAACTATTTGAGTAAGAGATTGAGAAATACAGAAGTTATGAGTTTTGATGCCAGCAGGGTCAGTGGTGTTAGAAGTTATGAGTTTTGGTACCAGCAGGGTCAGTGGTGTTAAAACCATGCCATTTTCTGTGTGATGAACATTAAAGTCACTGATAATAAAAATATTGGCACAAGGTTAAAGAGAAAGGGCATGGTCAATTCGATCACATCTTTCGAGACTACATCTGTAAGAATGTAGTCTTAAGAAGAAGGGCAACAATAAAGTACAAAGAGAAAGTTGATTGAGTTGAGAGGTGCTAAACAGAACCACATAAAAAAATGATTATATGGTCAATATGTTCAGATAATTCAAAACTGCTGAGTTGACAAATAGGTGAATTAATGTGTTAGTATACGCTAAAGCCAAGCATATGGCTATTAGAATCTTTGTGAATCAAAGAGAGTATCCATCAATGCTAAGATCTGAGGATAGATTAGACGAGTTTAAACTAGTTTCACAAACAGCAAAAAATTTTACAAGATTGTATAGAATGAATTGTTAAGATTCAACTGAGGAATGTTACTTCAAAGATCTCGAATACTTGTAATAATAAGATGTATTGAAACAGTCAGGTGTTGGTGGTGGTTATGTTTAAGCATGACATCTCAAGCATATAATAGATAGAAATAGAGCTATAATAAATAGAAATATTATTTTAATGAAATAATGACAAATTGTTTTTTAAGAAGGCAATATAAACCTTTTTATAAAATTAAAATGTAAATAATTTATAAAATAGTAAATACACTCTGTGTTCTTTGCAATAATACTGAATTAATTTTTTTTTTTGTAAATGATTTTTTTTTTTTTTTTTTTCAGGAAATTTAAAGATAAATGACTATAAGTTTTTTTTATATTAATTACAATTTACAATAACCTGGGTGTAGAGTACTTGTTACAAAAGGTACATGATATAAATATAGACCTAGAATCAATACTATAGTCAGTTCCAATCTAAACGTAAACAGTTTGCATCCTTTAATGAAAATCTTGAGCAGGGTTCCCTCTCCAGGGTTCCACTCCAAAACCTTAAATATCCTTAAAAAAAAGCCCTCTTTAAAAGTCCTTAAATAACCTTAAAAAAAGTTAAAGTTTGACTGCTATCTTTATTTTCTCTTTATTGTTTTTTTAATCATCTAGGAAATTTTATTAAAGCGAATGGATTATAGTTATTATTAAAAAAAGCAAATACATAGTTCTTTGATAGTTTGCAAACCTATACTATTATACAAATACATTTATATATACATCAAGTAATATATCAACTTATAATAATTTTTTTGCTTATATCTAAAATTTATTGAAAAAAATAAGATTCTGTTTTTAATGTAATTGTTTCCTCTTAATTCTCCTTATTTTTTCTTTCAAAAAATTGTTGTTTGCAACCAAATCTCCTTAAATAATAGGAAAATATTTCCTTAAATCTTCTTATAATCCTTACTTTTAGCCTCAGTTTTAATAGTAGAAACCCTGTTAAGTCTATAGGTGTGTCACAATATAAGCTAAACTCAGTGTCAAAACACCAATAGTTTCCAAAAAGACTATAAATATTAGATGGGAATAATTATTTGCAATCGGATAATGCAGACTGCATGTTGCATTGATGTTTGTTATGACCTGGTGTTATTGTTTGAAAAGAATTTTTAACATTTTTTTAACAAAATTTAACAAAGTTTTAACTACCAAAGTACTTTAAAATTCAGTTCCTTTTTTATTCAGTTCAAATGTAGCTAAGGTCCCAGAAAATTTTTTTTGCAGAGTTTCTATAAACTTCTGAAACATATGGCCTATGGAAATTCTACAGAATTCTATAGAATTTCTATAGAATCTCTGTCAATTTCTATAGAAATTTATATTTTTTCTTTTTTTTTTTTCTATAAAGAAAAAGTTTTATAGCAATTTACATAGAAATTGATAAACATTCTATAGAAATTCTATAGAAATTTTATAGAATTTCTATAGGCCAAATAAATTTTTTTATTTTTTTCATTTCATGTTTCAATTATTTATAGAAGTTCTATAAAACATTTTACTCATAAAATAAAAATGATACATAAATTCACCATAAGAAAAGTTGTCTATCTACCAAGTTTCAGTTCAATATCTCATTCTGTTCGTTAAATATTGCTAATATATGGCAAAAAAGCATGTTGCAAAAAATGCTAAATCAGCATAATAAAATTGAAACCTGAATATTTTAAGAGTCTTAAGGGTCTTAAATTTTGCAACACAACACAATTTGCACACAACTCTTAATGAGTATAAAAATATCAAATGATTTCTCAAGCTTTTTTTATTTAGACTGAAGAAAAGAAGTTAGAGTTAGCAGAACGCCATCTTGAAGAAGATGCAATGATGTTTGATGAGTTTTTAAAATCTAACGATAAAAATGCTGTAGAAGCTGTGAAAATGTAATTTAAAAAAATTAGTATTTAAAATAAATTTTTAACAATTTATGAATTTATAATTATTTGTATGATATTTTTATTAAAAGTATAAAATTACAAACAAAAAAAGTACAAAACGAACAACAAACAGAAAGTATAAAACAAACTATAAACAGAAAGTATAAAAAAAAACTACAAATAGAAAGTATAAAACAAACTACAAGCAGAAGGTATAAAAAAAACTACAAACAGAAAGTACAAAACATACTTCAAACAGAAAATATAAAACAATCTACGAACAGAAAGTATAAAACAAACTACAAACAGAAAGTATAAAACTAACTGCAAATGGAAAGTACAAAACAAATTACAAACTGTAATTTGTTTTGTACTTTGTTTTGTACTGAAAGTACAAAACAAAGTACAAAACTACAAATAAAAATTACAAAACAAACTACAAACAAAAGCTTTTAACAATTACTTTTGTTGCTTTCTTCTTTACTTTAGTTATAATCATTATCATCAATCACGATTTACACTATTGTTTTGTACCCACATTAATAAATTAATTTAAAAATATTAAATCTGAAAAATTTGCAAATTGATATTAAAAAAACATACATAATATTATAAATTATCAATAAAATTACTGACACCAAAGATAAAAATTATATACATTTTAAAATTATATAAATTATCAATAAAATTACTGACACCAAAGATAAAAATTATATACATTTTAAAATTATATAAATTATCAATAAAATTACTGACACCAAAGATAAAAATTATATACATTTTAAAATTATATAAATTATCAATAAAATTACTGACACCAAAGATAAAAATTATATACATTTTAAAATTATATAAATTATCAGAAATTACTGACACCAAAGATAAAAATTATATACATTTTAAAATTATATAAATTATCAGAAATTACTGACACCAAAGATAAAAATTATATACATTTTAAAATTATATAAATTATCAATAAAATTACTGACACCAAAGATAAAAATTATATACATTTTAAAATTATATAAATTATCAGAAATTACTGACACCAAAGATAAAAATTATATACATTTTAAAATTATATAAATTATCAGAAATTACTGACACCAAAGATAAAAATTATATACATTTTAAAATTATATAAATTATCAGAAATTACTGACACCAAAGATAAAAATTATATACATTTTAAAATTATATAAATTATCAATAAAATTACTGACACCAAAGATAAAAATTATATACATTTTAAAATTATATAAATTATCAGAAATTACTGACACCAAAGATAAAAATTATATACATTTTAAAATTATATAAATTATCAGAAATTACTGACACCAAAGATAAAAATTATATACATTTTAAAATTATATAAATTATCAGAAATTACTGACACCAAAGATAAAAATTATATACATTTTAAAATTATATAAATTATCAGAAATTACTGACACCAAAGATAAAAATTATATACATTTTAAAATTATATAAATTATCAGAAATTACTGACACCAAAGATAAAAATTATATACATTTTAAAATTATATAAATTATCAGAAAATTACTGACACCAAAGATAAAAATTATATACATTTTAAAATTATATAAATTATCAGAAATTACTGACACCAAAGATAAAAATTATATACATTTTAAAATTATATAAATTATCAGAAATTACTGACACCAAAGATAAAAATTATATACATTTTAAAATTATATAAATTATCAGAAATTACTGACACCAAAGATAAAAATTATATACATTTTAAAATTATATAAATTATCAATAAAATTACTGACACCAAAGATAAAAATTATATACATTTTAAAATTATATAAATTATCAGAAATTACTGACACCAAAGATAAAAATTATATACATTTTAAAATTATATAAATTATCAATAAAATTACTGACACCAAAGATAAAAATTATATACATTTTAAAATTATATAAATTATCAATAAAATTACTGACACCAAAGATAAAAATTATATACATTTTAAAATTATATAAATTATCAATAAAATTACTGACACCAAAGATAAAAATTATATACATTTTAAAATTATATAAATTATCAGAAATTACTGACACCAAAGATAAAAATTATATACATTTTAAAATTATATAAATTATCAGAAATTACTGACACCAAAGATAAAAATTATATACATTTTAAAATTATATAAATTATCAGAAATTACTGACACCAAAGATAAAAATTATATACATTTTAAAATTATATAAATTATCAGAAATTACTGACACCAAAGATAAAAATTATATACATTTTAAAATTATATAAATTATCAGAAATTACTGACACCAAAGATAAAAATTATATACATTTTAAAATTATATAAATTATCAATAAAATTACTGACACCAAAGATAAAAATTATATACATTTTAAAATTATATAAATTATCAGAAATTACTGACACCAAAGATAAAAATTATATACATTTTAAAATTATATAAATTATCAATAAAATTACTGACACCAAAGATAAAAATTATATACATTTTAAAATTATATAAATTATCAGAAATTACTGACACCAAAGATAAAAATTATATACATTTTAAAATTATATAAATTATCAGAAATTACTGACACCAAAGATAAAAATTATATACATTTTAAAATTATATAAATTATCAGAAATTACTGACACCAAAGATAAAAATTATATACATTTTAAAATTATATAAATTATCAATAAAATTACTGACACCAAAGATAAAAATTATATACATTTTAAAATTATATAAATTATCAGAAATTACTGACACCAAAGATAAAAATTATATACATTTTAAAATTATATAAATTATCAATAAAATTACTGACACCAAAGATAAAAATTATATACATTTTAAAATTATATAAATTATCAATAAAATTACTGACACCAAAGATAAAAATTATATACATTTTAAAATTATATAAATTATCAATAAAATTACTGACACCAAAGATAAAAATTATATACATTTTAAAATTATATAAATTATCAGAAATTACTGACACCAAAGATAAAAATTATATACATTTTAAAATTATATAAATTATCAGAAATTACTGACACCAAAGATAAAAATTATATACATTTTAAAATTATATAAATTATCAGAAATTACTGACACCAAAGATAAAAATTATATACATTTTAAAATTATATAAATTATCAGAAATTACTGACACCAAAGATAAAAATTATATACATTTTAAAATTATATAAATTATCAGAAATTACTGACACCAAAGATAAAAATTATATACATTTTAAAATTATATAAATTATCAATAAAATTACTGACACCAAAGATAAAAATTATATACATTTTAAAATTATATAAATTATCAGAAATTACTGACACCAAAGATAAAAATTATATACATTTTAAAATTATATAAATTATCAATAAAATTACTGACACCAAAGATAAAAATTATATACATTTTAAAATTATATAAATTATCAGAAATTACTGACACCAAAGATAAAAATTATATACATTTTAAAATTATATAAATTATCAGAAATTACTGACACCAAAGATAAAAATTATATACATTTTAAAATTATATAAATTATCAGAAATTACTGACACCAAAGATAAAAATTATATACATTTTAAAATTATATAAATTATCAGAAATTACTGACACCAAAGATAAAAATTATATACATTTTAAAATTATATAAATTATCAGAAATTACTGACACCAAAGATAAAAATTATATACATTTTAAAATTATATAAATTATCAATAAAATTACTGACACCAAAGATAAAAATTATATACATTTTAAAATTATATAAATTATCAGAAATTACTGACACCAAAGATAAAAATTATATACATTTTAAAATTATATAAATTATCAGAAATTACTGACACCAAAGATAAAAATTATATACATTTTAAAATTATATAAATTATCAGAAATTACTGACACCAAAGATAAAAATTATATACATTTTAAAATTATATAAATTATCAGAAATTACTGACACCAAAGATAAAAATTATATACATTTTAAAATTATATAAATTATCAGAAATTACTGACACCAAAGATAAAAATTATATACATTTTAAAATTATATAAATTATCAATAAAATTACTGACACCAAAGATAAAAATTATATACATTTTAAAATTATATAAATTATCAATAAACTTACTGACACCAAAGATAAAAATTATATACATTTGTTAAAAAGCATTGAAAGATAGAAATAAAAATGCCAACATTTGCTGACACAGAAAGATAAAAAGAAATATGCTAATTGTGAGTACACTTACAGAAAGATATATGCTAATTGTGGGTGACAGATGGAAATATAAAAAAAAAATTTGCTAACTGTGGGTGGCAGGTGGGTGGTGGGTGATAAAAGTGGAAAGATTAAATAAAATACTTAAACTACTAATAAGTTACAAATTCTTCGGAAACATTTTTTTATAACTTTTTTTAAATGTTTGAATAATTGTATATACATTCAGGGTATAAAATAAAAAGCAAATTTAAACAAATTTAAGCAAGCATGCCACCCAGCGATGAGCCTTCACATTCCAAAAAAAAAAGATAATAATCTCAAGGTCCACTTAACATCCACTTAAAAATTCACGCACTAAATGAATTACAGTTCATATGATTACAAAACAAAAGTGATACCAGTGACATTGGGTTTGTTGGACATTTGTTTTACTGAGTATAATTTTACGTTTACTAATATTATGTTTATTAAATATAACTTATATATATGTTAATTAATGTGGCTGTAATAATTTTGACTGTAAATGTTTTCAAAAAACATAGTTTGTTTTATATATATAATCAAATAATAAATTGTATAAGGCACTACAAGTTTAGTTAGTACACAACATTTAAAATGTCTAAATTTTTTTTACTGCATACCAAAAAAACAAGAGATGCTTGGAAAAAGAATTCGATTCACTTTGAGAAAAGTAAAAGATAACATAAAAATGAATATCAAGAATCATTAGCAAAAATATGTATAACGATAACAAATTGGAAAATAAAAAACCAATACACCAGCTTGGCATCTGACTTTAAAAATGTGAAAGAACCAATACAGAATTTCAGATGGGTGTATAGAACTATGGGCTTATTCAATTTTTCCAACATTAAACATTAAACAAAAGATCAGTGCCAATAATATTTATTGTAGAAAAATTGAACAAAAAGAAGCAAATATAATAATAGAAATCAAAAAACCAGGTACTTTGAGTTTTAATGGTTTATTAGATGTAAAGAAAGTGTATTGACTTTAGTTGCATTTTAATGATAAAAATTTTTATATAAAGCAATTAGAGACATCTGGTAAAGTGATACTACAATAAAGCCTGATTATCCTTATAAAATACATGCTTCAAAGAAATTTAAAATTAGAAATGTTTCATAAATGTCATGAACTTCAATTTTGAATGAATTCATAGAGGAACACAAAAGTAGTAATGAGTAAATGACAGTGGCAGTGATTATAAACCTTTAATAAATATTAATAAACAAAAAATTAAAAAGAGGACAGACGATGCTGTTAAGTTGGCTATTCAAGAAAAGTTGAGTACACGAAAATCTACCGCAATGTCAACAACTTCAGATGATTGGTGTTGATCTTTCTGGTCTAACTCAACCAGCAATCCATATGGCAGTCATCCAAGAGAGTAAATTACGAGATAAATTTATAAATGAACTAAAAATTACGAGATAAATTTATAAATGAACTAAAGATTGAAAATATAAAGCAATCAAAGACATCTAGTAAAGTGAGGTATTCTATAATAAAACCTGATGATCCTTATAAAATACATCTTTTAAAAAAATTTAAAATTAGAAATGTTTCATCAATGCTATAAACTTGAATTTTGAATGAATTCAGAGAGGAACCCAAAAGTAGTAATAAGTAAATGACAGTGGCAGTGATTATAAACTATTAATAAACAAAAAATTAAAGAGGACAGTCCATGCTGTTAAATTGGATATTCAAGAAAAGTTGAGTTCACAAAAATCTACCACAGTGTGTCAGCATCTTCAGATGTCTGGTGTTGATCTTCCTGCAAAATTCTTCCAACTCAACCAGCAATCCATATGGCAGTCATCTGAGAGAGTAAAAAGTTACGAGATAAATTCAGAAATAAACTAAACATTGAAAGAGGAGGTTATACTAAAGCCAATGTTGTTAAAGAAGGAAAAGTTAGAACCAATTTTTTAAAAACTTTTGAATGAATGTGATTTATGTAGACCTAAAAAAATGATGTGACAAATGCTACAAATGTTAACACTGGGAAAACAAGCGGCAAGATAACGAGATTAATGACAAAGTTTGATAGTGTTAACTTTGAGAAACCTCTCTATGTTGGTTATCAGCACCATATATTAGAAGAATTAGAATTGCTTTTTTGGAGGTAATACAGGTTCACCTGATCTGTCATAATATTTTATTAAAGCAATACGCAGTAATTATGATTATTTAGCATCGAACTTTGACAATAGCGGTATACAATTGAAGGAAACTAAACTGAAATGGAAAGATGTCAAATTTATTCACAAAGTTTTGGTGTGATTCCTGATTTAACATTTGTGCTGAACGAGCAGTAAAAGTTTAAGAGGATATCAAAAGTCTTAGCAAATCTGAATTCTAGGCTTATTTGTTATGTGAGTAACAGCTTTTGGCTCGGTTTTCTAGTGGGTGAGTTTTTTTCTAGAAATATAATGAAACTGATAATTATATACAAAAGCTCATCAAAATATGACATGCTCATCGAGTTTTTAAAATTCTATGTAGTTCAAATTTTTTAAAATTTTATGCAGTTTAAATTCTATTTAATTTCTTGTCGAAAGTTTAACAATAAATTTTAATTTTCACATTTTACTATTATTGTTTTGTAATTTATAATTACATTTATAATAATAATAAACTTAAAATTAATAAA